ATCCTTGTTAGTTTGTCCACAGGGTCAGATCAGTTGTTAGTTTAAAAACTTCTTTAATGTTTGCTTGTCAGTTTGGGTATCCTGAAATCATTTACTCAAGTTAGGTGATTTTAAAAAAAAATAAAAATAAAATAAAAAAGGTGGAACAAGTGTTTTCAAGTTCATCTTGAATGAAGATTATTAAATATTCTCACACAGAAAAAGTAGCAAAATACAGTACAAACCTATTAACAGGAAAGTTGAATTTGAAAGAAACTTTGCTTGTTGAATTTATTATATGAATACTGATAAATGGCCTATATCAGCAAAGAACAGGAAGGTTTTTTTGCATTGGCTACTGCAGACCTTTACACAGATACTAGACAATGTAGACATTTAGACAAGGTGAAATGAGACAAATATTGCACTACATTACCTGTGCTAGTTTGAGATGAAAGACAAAAGTTAAAAGGTCAAATCATTTATATTTAGTGGTTGTGGCACTCCTTTCATTTGTTTGTAAAAAATTAATTGAAGAACGAGTCATAGACAAGTCTCCCGGTCAACACCTTTCCCTGAGTCAGCTTTCTTCTCTCTTCTGATTTCAGCACTAGGAAAAGAAGGGGCAAAAAAAGAGTTACAGCAGCACTATCATATATATTAATGATCTACCTGAAAACCAACATTGCACTTAAATTTTTCATGCTGCATAGCACAAACTGGGAAGCAAGTGCAAGTTTCTGTGCTAAATGGTGCAGAAGACATGAGCCAGCATTTTAGTGATGAGAGAGATAGGTAGAGAACTTAAGGTGTACAGAGAGACATGTCAGCCAGCATGCAAGCAAAGATAGCCACTTTTTTTCTTTTTCTTTTTTTTTTTTTTTGGCAAATACAACTGTTAAATGATTCAATAATGGTAATGGTACAGTTCTCAGACAATACCAGCATTTTCTTAAATGGCACAAACAAGAGGTCACAATAAGTATTTCTTGTCTTTAAAATGTCTTGTTGCTCAATGTACATTTAGAAGGAATATATCTGAACTAGAGCAGTGCAAGCCAATTCCCAACTGTAATACTTGGCTTTCAGTCTTGATTGGGGAGAGCAGGAGAAGGCTGGGGGGTGGTGGAGTGGTTATATTCCCCATTTTGAGCTTAATACATACTTCCTCTTGTATACATTATAAAGAAATAGGTGTCTGGTTTTTTTAAAAAAAGATCATGAAAAAAAAGAAAGACCACACAAAAGCTGTGTCACTAAGAACTCTGAAGCAGAGTTCGTATTTACATTAAGCTTTTTTCCCCAGTTAAAACACTGTTGATTTGACTACAGAAAACAATGTATGTGCAAAGCAGATGGCTATTTTTTGGGGGTGTTTTTTTTGGTGAAGAGGGTCCTAATTTACAACAGCATAAATAAATAAAAAGTCATGTTCTTGCAGTGAGTTTCAATCACACCACAAAAATGCAGAGAGGCTTCCACAACACAGGCATATCAAGCCTTCAACAAAGAGTGGCAGGGTATTTAAAAAAAAAAGATGGTTCTGAGAACAAACCTGTATCAAGCACATAACCTACCAGGTTTCATGGGAATAATTCCTTAACTAGAATGAATGAGAAATAGGCCAAGTTACACAAGGCTTAAAAAAGCAAGATCAATTCTCAAATTCTTAAGGCGATTCATGCACAATTTTACAATCATCTGACATTTTTCTTCACATAAAAATTGCTTTAAGGATGCAATTCAGTTCAGCCAAAGCTTACTTCTATGCCTATGGCAGCTTCCAGAGGTGTTAATGGAAATAGCTAAAGAATACCAACTTCTGCCACTTCAACTGCCAAATCTGTCACCTTCTGGAGAACAGTGATAGAATTGGGTATGTTACACTTTCTGCACACAAAGGGTATGCAAACAAATTCCTGGGGGGTGAATTTAAAGTGCAGCAGTACAGCAGGCAGAGTTACCTGTGCTTAGTAAAAGCAAACACTGAGGATGTGTTGTGTGCCTTACAGTCTATAATATTTCCACGTTTTAGGTGCCTCTGTGATAGAGGAAAGTCTTCCTTCTATTTAGGATTCACATCTCTGAGCATCTCCTGCAGATGTGGGCCTTAATGCCTTGAGAAATTTGGGGGGGGGGGGGAAGGACAATTCCAGTCTTTTACCAGTAAAACACATAACTGGTGGATCTGTAAGGGACTTGGAGCTCTCTTCCTCCCTACCAAGGGAGTAGTCTAACCAGCCTGAGAAGGAAGGTTAGGGATGTGGGGTTTGCATATCTTCAGGCAGAGATGGGAACTCATATAATCTACAAAGTAATAGGTGCCTCTTTCTCCAATAGTTTAAAAGACCAGCTAGGACTACCTTCTGTTTGTGGTCAGATCTTCTGCCTAAGTTTTGAAATTCCTATCTATCTGAAGGGCTTAATATTATAAGCAAAGACAGAGGAATATTCAATTACATGTACCAAAGAGGGCTCAAATAGGTGCCTTGGTGTTCAAGTCTACCAAGACAGGCTCAAAGCAGACCTTTAGGTCCCTAGGACTTTAATTAATGAAAAATTAAGGTTGGAAAATTGTAAAGGTCGGGCGCCTATATGGTTAGGCAACAGTTGACTAAGTAAATCTCATTTAAGTCCCCTCTTCAGACACTTAAATACTGTTATGAGTCTGGGACATAAGAACTGTCACACACTACACCACACAGAGCCAGAGGCAGAACAGAGATTATTGTAGATACTATCCATACATCAGGCTGAGAAGTTGTTTCTATAAACCCTTCCTGCCTAAAATCTCTCTTTGGAGATCATCTTGGTTTATTGTTGGCCAGTCTTTCGTTGGCCAAGTCTATTTAGTATTTAATTAGTATGAAGATCTTCCAGATCTTATGTATTCCAGAAATCACCCTATGTTGCTAACTGATCAATGCCTTATGTAAAAGGCATTACATGGAATCATAGTACAGTATTGTCATTTATCCCCCATTTAATAATATTTTTGGATATTAGTATAAGAAAGTAGACCTGACAACAGGAAAAGGAGTACTAAACACTTCTGTAATTGAACTTCAAAAGGCATCAGTAAAATTAATTTCAAAACAGCATGATTTCTTTCCCCTATGGTAAGATACCTTTCACTGAAGGGAACTGTGTAATGTAATACTGGTGATCTTGATCATTTGCAAAAATTATCCTTACAATTGCTACCATTCCAAGCTTGCTTTTTCTCAGTACTTACCTAGGATTGAATTATATCTTCATATAATGATAGATGTATTTAGGAATATAATGTGTCTTTAGTTCTGTCTCTAATATGATTTAAGATTAATGTTGTCTATGGTTTTGCTGATCAGAAAGCAAGCCTTCGAGGTTTAAAGTTCTTTGAATCTACTTCTGTCTGGGAATCTAAGACAAGCTAGGGCACATGAAAAAGCACGTTTCAAAGTCTTTAAGAGGCTGTTCCTTTACAACAGGACACTCATGCCTAAACCCATAAAACTTGGGATGTCTCAGTTCCTTTTCACCTCTTTGTTTTCATGAGCAAAGATACAAGAACAGATTGAAAAGGAGCTCATTAGCGTTTCTGTTTTACTGCAGTGAAAAGGCCAAATCATCTTTTACCATTGCTGTCTGAGCCACAGTCTATGTGGATGCTCTTTGCTCAAACAAAACGATCTTTGAAAATTTCAGGTAAAAGCAGCACATGTTTACATAAACTATCATACCAACAAAGAAAGCAACAGCCACCAGAAAACTCACAACTACTGCATACCCCATGGCTGTGAATGTGCCACATCAGTTCTTTCTCTTTCTCCAGGCTTTCACAGCCTGGCCACCAGAGGCACGTAAGGTGAGAAAACCCTCCTGGTCATCCTTCCCCCAGGCACCATGCCAATTTCACTGTGACAGAATCAGCCGATGTGTAGGGTGGAAGGCAAATCAGAACTACACTGCTATTTTGACTGTCAGTGAAATAGCACTGAAATGATCGCTTTAGTGGGCTGCACCATGGGTGTTTGAAATGAAGATTCACTGGTCATCAGCTGTTCATCTTGTTTATGCTGTTTAGGGAAAGGTACAACACTGAAAGGCAGCATGCCATTTTGGGGTGACAAAATTAAAAAATGTATTTCACTACAAAATTTTTTATCCTACTGCATCTTTTCACCATAAGACAATGACCAGCTGTTTCAAACATGGAGCTTGTTTTGAAAACTAGATTTAGAAATGGGCAGAATATAATTTTATATTTTTAAAAAAAGTCAAAGCATGAAAAAAATCTAGGAATAAATTCAATTTAACATTTAAATACATTACATCTTTTTTTAATACACAAGCGTTTTGGAATTTTAATATTCAGGACTTCGATGAAGACATTTTACATTCCTATTTGTAATTTTCTTTCATTCTGTCTCCCCAAAAATTACACAACATCAAGTCATTGGGGTTCCTAGGTGGCACAACTTTGAATTGGAAGATACAGTCAAGGAAAAGGTAGGGGCCAGGGTCTTACCTTTGGGGACTCAGCTTCTAGAGTGATTAGGAAAGGGTGCTTATGACAAAAATGTGGTATGAAACAATTAAGTATAAAATAGTTAAATTTGTGGAAACAGAGGAAAATCTCTCTTACAATCACAGCGTGCTTGTATTTAATATTTTCTTATTCCCATAATAACTCTGTAGCACAGATAAAACATCGTTGCTTCATTTTACATTTGTCTGGCCTAAAATTTAAAAGTATTTAATTGTTTTGAGTGTACGTGAAGTAGGCAGAAAAATAAGTAATGCAATCTTAAAATTATATTCACTCCAAATACTAGTAGATCACAGTCAGAGTACTGGGCTCTTCATATAGATATTTCCAGAGCAGTGATGACCACTTCTTTTTTCAATAGGAAAGAATAAAAGCAAGCTGAACAAACACAACAGCTGTTGTGCAATATCCAGGTGTAGGTTGGTGGTTCATTACACAAGCATCAGGCATGCTCAACTTCATTTTCCACTCTAGCATAACTAAGTAACATGCAAATATTTGTGATTTTTTTTTTAAATAAATATATATAGTGAATTTGTGTTTTGAGCTCAGAATATGATGACTGGGCATAAATAAAAGGAAACCTCAAGAAATAAAACTGCAAGATGCTAGAAATTTTTCTAATCCCTAACAAAATATCCTAATATTGGTTTGACATCTATATGTAAAGTATAATATGCAGTAAAAAAAATTAAAACCTTTTAGAAGGAAAGCTTGACTCCTTATCTTTTGCATTCTCTGAGGATATCAACAGTGTCTTCCACACAGCAGTTTTTGCCATTTCATCAGAAATGTTTATCACAGATGGGTCATCTCTAGGCAAGAGTAAAAGTAAATACACAATAAACCAATAAGCAGTCAGTCTTTGTAACTTATTAACTCTACAAAACTCCTTGAAAACTGACAGTGATGACAATAAGTAAGTGCAATGTAAGTTACAAAATTATGTTAAACTTCAAAAGTCCTGAACAATGACTTCAGTATTCTCTTAAAACATCTTAGCATTTTTTTAGTATTTTCCTCCTCCAATAGCAGTTAACCACAGTAGTATCAATAAAATATATCCTTTCACTTCCAACTAACACAGAAAAATGAGGAACTGTGAAATTAAATACTGCTGCAAGATCTCACAGCATGCCAGTGGCATAGTTGGATTAAACAAGAATCCTAAGAACTCCTAATAGTTCTTAAAGTACTTATTCTCTGAAACTCTACCTGCTTTTAAAACAATTTTGAAAGCAATCAAAAACCTTGACAAAGTCAAAGATTTATTTATTTTTAAGCTAAGCATCGCTAATATAAAATAGAACAAAAAGGTATGGACAAAAGAAGAAAAAAATAGACTATTAGAAGTGTGGAATCAAAAATAAGAAATAGGTTGGGATTTTTCAGAGAGACAGTTATTTGCCTTAGGAGACACGAGGGTAACTGCGTGTGAAAATAGAAGAGGAGGCCGCTCTGAGATGGCGTTCCTATGTACTCAGCATTAATGTAGAGGATACTATCAGCAGATATTTCAAATTTTTATTAAGAACTAACTTTCTGAAAACTGTAAATGAGAGTCCTTATGGGCTAGCCACATGTATTATTGCTACCTATAACATAGGTTTTCGTGCTTTTTCAGTTGTGTCAAGCCTGCATTACGCCTTCTCTACCTTGGACAGCTCTTGATTCACTTACTATCTCACATAGATGGAATCTTAATTAGAATGTTTTAAGATGTAATACTGTAAGAACCGAGTTTTTCTGGGGTGTGTTCAAAACCATTCCTGGCTTCCTGCTGGCATCAGGATGAAGGGTTTGACCTGCTCTACATCTTCCTTTCACACCATGCATGTCAGAAGCCAAGGTTCATTATGAACAGCCTGACCCTGCAGTCATGCCCAAGGGAAAACTTCAGCTAATGTGGCCTTTTCCTAGGGACTGAGAGACCATGAGGAAAGAGACTAGAAAAGGGCTGAGCTTGTTAAATGCTGCAGTATATGGTCCAGTTTACTAGTCTGTACTACCAAACATCCTCCTGACATTCAGTAAGCATTAAGAATAAATATTGTGTCATGTTTATTTTATTTGTTTAATTGTAACTCACCTAAAAGAGGAAAGGTATATTTTACCTGTAATGTCCTTCTAGTGGTAACTGCACAGTCCCTTCCTCTTCCATTGCTAACATACTTTGCTCTTCCTAGAAGGAAGGAATTTAGACATTGAGACAGGATACAATGGTGTGAAAAGTGAAATTTATATACTTTAATCCTTTTTCCCCTGTAAGTATTTATTTGAAGTTCTTAAAGTAAGATACTTCTGAACTCTCTTGATTTAAATATTTGACATTTAAAATCCTCTATTTTAAAAGATGTATCTTCATGTTATTTTTCAATGCCAAATAGAGGAGACACGTAACAATAAAGAAAAATTAGTAACACTGAGTGAGCAACTGTATGGTGAATTTTAAATATGACATGTAACAGGATATATACATTGCAATGTTAATATGCAAAAATCAGGAAGCCAAATTTAAGTCTGCACATGCAGACTGAAACAGTTTTATTGCAGTGAAAGGTAGTGAAACAAGACACCAAAATTAATTTTCACTTGAACAGGGAAGAAACTTTTGTGAGTAATAGGAAGTGAACTAGGATACATATCTACCAAAAATCTTTTTGTCAAATATTTACAAATTCAGAAAATCTATCTTAGGGGGAGGGGAGAACAAAAAACCACCCCTCAAGCACCATATCCTGCCTGCAAGAACAAAGGAAAACAAGTATCTGTTAGACGTCAGCTCAAGGCTCCACAGGATGATTCTCAAGACTGATAGAGCCAGGAGGTTAACGTGCCTTCACATGAACGTAACCATAAATCCTACCCTAAACTGCTGTGCTGCGTGTGTGTGAGCATAACAGACACCCAGAGACCTCCATGTCTTTATTCCCTTTGTTAGATGGCTTTTTAACAGTTTATCCTGGTGCCCGTTTGAAAGTGTGAGTTGGCTCTCCCAAAAAGAGAAGCTTACCGTTTTCTGGCAGATCACCCAAAACCCCACATGCATCATACACACTGACAAGTTGGTATTAGCTGCAAGAGCCAGTACAATTTCAGAATTCAAGTCCTCTCTGCACAGAAATTTGTTTCTTCTATGTTTTACTATTACAACTATTTTAAAAGTCAAAATATTTTTTTCTCCAAATGGGAGAAGTCACTTTGTTCATTCCTGTCTCAGAGAGACTTAATTGATTAACATCAAGTGGCTTCCAATGGAGGTCTGTGAGAAGAAGGCATATATAATATCCACTATAAATGTACAAAGCCTTGGAAAGACATGGCCTAAAAATATAAAAACAACTAAAGTGATGAAATTAGGATCCAATCAAATAAGTTTCAGATCTTGTCAACTATATTTCTGAATATTCTTGTGGGTAGAATACTTCTATTTTTAAAAGCCGTGTGATAGCAACTCTCCAATTAATTCCTTAGGCTACATGTCAGAAGTTTTATTACTAGTTAATTTTGTCATTTCCAGGCTTCACAGCTTCATAAGTTTTTGACAGTTGAACAGTTTTAATAATAGCTCCAAATATTTAGAAATGCCAAAATATGTAAAAATAACCTCTCAAAATAGACAGTGAATGAAATAAAGTAACACCAGTAGATTTTCCCAGTTTTGTTTTCTGATGCCATTCTATCAAGCATGGGAAGGAAAGTGACATACAACGAAAACATAAGGATAACAAGGCATTCTTTCCAATAACCAGACCCACAAGCAAAGAGCTACCCTGGTTACTTTTGGTTGCTCTGAATTGTGGTGACAACAGATACTGTAGTGAAACAACGCTCTGGTCTGCTTCGATTCAAGGGGGAAAAAAATGACTCATGTATTTTATTCTCAGCCTGGTAGTTTTGCAGGCACATACTAAATAATAAATCATCATCATGATGTTTATCACCTAGGTAAAACCTTTTCCCCAAAACATATTCTATGAAAGTATGTTGAATATGTCAAAGAAAGCAAAGTTCTAGTTCTCCAGGTTACAAATGAGGCAGTGAGTTGTCAAAGGTCACAGAAGAATCCTAAAGGCAGAGAAATCTAGTTTTCATAGTTACATGTGCAAATTATTAGCTCATGTCCTATTTCTGAAATAGACTTACCAATGGGAATCCTTACACACACTATTTCACTGGTCTCAGATCACATCTCAGAGCATCCCTAGGGATAAATTGCTGATTTATCCATTCCAATTGTCTAGTTTTTACAGTATCCTTGTACCACCAAAAGGCTATGTCTCACAGGTCCCAGGCTTTGGCAGAGGACTTCAGGGCATCTTAGAGGTCATATGCACGACTGTCCCCAGAGCACTCCTGCCAGAAGTGACCACAATCTGCCACAACCACATGGCATCGTCTGCACCTTCACCTCTCGCTGCCACCACAGCCTCACACCATGCTGCTAATCAAAAGTGCTGGCATGGGACACACGACTCCCATTTAAAATAACCTGGCACCAACTGCTCCTGCAGTTAGTACTTCTCCATTGAGACTTGTCCCTCATTTATTTGGGCCCAGTACTGATGTTCCCTAACGGTTGGCATTGATCAGGTGGCTGATACCAGGGACAGAGGTCTTCGTCCCTTACACATAAAGTTACTCTATATTCCCACAGGTATATATGATATTCAAACAGGCAATTCATGAAGCAGCAGCTAGATGAAAACGCTATCAAACAGATGAAAAACTGGTTAGAGATCTACACTCAGAAAGATCAGTGTGTCACTGTCAAAATACAGGAACATTCTGAATGGAAATGTATAAGAATCTGTTCTGTATCACGTTTATAAGAAATGATCTGAAATGTATATTCTTTGAAAGGAGACAAAAGGCATATTCTTTGAAAGGAGATGAGGAGTCCAGATCTGAAACAGTCAACTGGGTGGTAGTGCGACAGGCTGTAAGTGAAAGTCTGAGATTTGGTTAACAGGGGTAAGCAGCGTCACTGACTTTTTCATTAGAAAGTGGAAGTAAATTGTTTCTGCAGTAGCAGAAGGAAAATACTGGCCAAGTGTAATAGGGATGCTGCACAGGGTTATGACACTGCTAAGCGGAAAGGGCACAGGGTGATGGCGTGTGACCCACGTATGGCTCAGATGTAGCTGGGATATGCCATGCCCCTTAAATTCTGCAGTGCTCTCCTCAGCTTCTCCAGCAGGGACGAGACCAGTCCCAATGCAGCGAAGCGCCCCAGACATCTGAGGGCTTTCCTACAGACACAGGTTCATCCCCGCACATCATCTCAGCAGGTCTCAGGAGTTACTATGATATATGATAGTATGGCAGCATAAGAATCTATATCTAACAGACATCCCCACCTAAGCCTATTAGATTTGTAACCTTAAAAGGACTTATGTAAAATATGACAGTATTACACTTTGGACACTGTTAACAAGCCTGCCTGTTGCATGGAATATGCCTTATTTACAGAATTTTCTCTAAATGTCTGAAAGAGTGAAGTGCTACATACAGAAAAAAGAACAACCTGAAACCATGACCCACCTCTTTCTCGGCATCTTCCAGTTTCTTTTTCTTGCTCTCTGGCATCAAATCATCTAACCAACTGAGCTCCCGCTTAGTAAAAAAGAAATCCATGAGCTTTCGGACAAATACCAAAGCTAGGACCTGTAAAGACATTAATTCAAAGAATTAGGAAATTAAACAAGTAAAACTGACAAATACACTTGTAGAGGAATACTTTCAAAAGTGACCACAGTTTACAGCTAGAATTTTATCCTTTAATTTGGACAGGCCAACAGCTGGTCTTCCTTTGTTCAGATGAAGTATGGCTTGAAGCATTTAACAATCACTGAGGTCTTTTATTTTCAATTACTGAAATAATCAGAGAGGCATCATTTAAAGCAGTAGAATAGATTTTTCTTTTATTTCCAGCAGGACACAGAACTATCAGTAAAGTTCCTCAGTGCCATGAACAATCTTCCTTAACGAGGCAATGTTCTTTCTGTAAAATTATTAAGCACTACCCCTTAAATAAAAAGATCAGATAAATTTTAGTAATTTTTATTTTAAGAGAAGAATTTTCCCTAAGAGAATATACAGCTGGGCTATCCACATATATAAACAGAGTGCAACCTAGACTCAAACTAGAGGTTATATGTAGAATTTTTCCTTACTTAATACTGTACAAATTGTCCTTCAATATTGAATCAAAGCAATATTATCATTACCTGCCCACAATTAATTTTTTCTTCAATAATAATTATCCATAAGTGGAAAGAAAAGGGATTTTGAGAGGAAATAAAAAATATTTCATACCATCATAGGAAAGACAATGGCAGCTCTTGAAACCTTTATAATCCACAGAAGCACAAGACAACTCAGCTGAATTACAGTGAAGAGATGGACCTTTCTAAGAGGAACGTGCCTCAGATAAATAAAATCTGGCTGATGCTTTGCAGGCATCCAGAATAACTTTATCCTGTCAAAAAGCTGAAAGAGAAATTTTAAAACGTTTGCATCCAAATGAGCTGTAGGATCATCTATGCTGACATTCACACGCTGCCTAAGTATCCTAAGCATCTGGCTAGTTATTCTAAAGGCAAAAACTGTGCAGAAGTTCAGGAGCACAGAAAAGAACTACCTCAGTTATAATCATGAGCCATGAATCAATACTAGTCCAATGGTGGTAAAGGACTCATCTTCTCTCCAGTTGAGCCACCACAGTAAGAATGAGAATCATATTATTTAAGTAAAGTTTAATTATTTGGTTAGTCATACTTCTCAAATTCCTTTCCATTTTAAATATGCATTTGTCTCCCTAGGTATTTCTATTGCAAGATGTGCTAAGATACTGGATTCCACTGAATTACATTCTGTATAGTCTCCAGGAAACATCCTGCTCATAACTGCATAATATAAACACAAAAGAATAGTTACTTTTATATTATACTGCTAAGATTTCAAGTCAAGAACTCTGAAAGACATGAATCAATTGTGAATCAAACTGAATGGAAGCTGGTTGATCCCGTTGGGCATACACACTATTACACTGCCTTTCTAATACATTCTAAACTTTTGGTTTTCAACAACTGAGCTCTGTTTCCTTTAGCACATAAAAGATGATCATGGAGGGATCTCTTCAGTCTTTTATTTTTTATTTTTTTTTAATTCCCAGTTTACTTCACCAGACACTTTATCGCAGGCTGTTTTCTTTTGCATTTTCTTGACAAAACCAGGAACAAAAAACCAAAAAATGCCAGAAAGCCAACTGCCATGCTGTTAGGAATGGATATGAGAGGTTCTTGTTTTTCAGACCTATTTGGCTCCACACTGACCTGAGACTCTGTGTCAGCTGCTATGGCACAGTGATGATGGTGATGCACCACTTCTCCCTGCATGGATGATCCATGCTATATTCACAGAGTCTTCAGGAATTTCAAGTTTCAGGAATTTTTAGTGAGTATGTGCAAACTGCATTTTTTTAAAGGCTTATAATTTGGCCAGATTTGAACAGATTTCTTTTTCACAGAAACAGCAAAAAGCACATCCTCCCACAAAAACCATCTTATCAAATCTCAATTCCTTGTCCCAGCTTGGAGGAGGGAGATGCTATAACTTTTCCAAGTAAAGATAGCCAGATTTTAGCATGCCTTAAAAACACTCCTCAATAGTGTACTTTCTCATACCCTTGTTCTGAGAAACAGCTGAACCATATTAAGTTGAAATTATCTAAACCTCAGTGAAAGCCAAACTATACTTCTTAGAATATCAACTCAAATGATAAGAACAAGGCAAAGTTATAAAAGAAGAGTCTCTGAATAGAAAACACCAGCCGAAAAACAAGAGATGTTGCCATCTTTGCCCATAAATAATAGCGTGGTAAAAAAAGGACATTTTTCACTCGCAATCAAAAATTTAAATATAAAGAAAAACAATCAGGCGTTTTCTTTGCTCTTTGTATTTGACAAGCTTTTGCACTGTATAATTCATGTTTTCATCACGTGATTGTTCTTTCTCAGTTGTCTTGGAAGGTGTATCAATACCTCAACTTTCGATAACAAACAAAGGCACACTTGAAAATTGGAGTGTAAGATGGGGTAAAAGATTTGACACCATGCCATTTACCGCTGCAGTTGTGCAGGAGAAATGGTACATAGGATACCTTTACCAGCCCTGATCCCAATGCTGGAGTGTGCCTGGCTTCCACCAGGGGCTCCTGCTTAAGGGCACTGCAGGAATGCTGCCCTTCCACTAGACTTGCTCTTTGTCCCAAGACCACAAATTAAGTAGCATGGGACTTCCTGGCCTGGGGCATTTATTTGCACAGGAAATGTCTTCAAAATCTCACCTCTGTTAGTTTTAGGGCAAGTTAGTCAAAAGCTTCATATAGGCAAAGTTCAAGATCAAGAGTACTGAAAAGACAGCAGGCAAGCAAGTCAATGGGGAGGGAGGGGAGAGATCCTGATAGTTGTTACTCAGTTTTTAGGCTTAGCCAAAATTCCCTTGATAACAAGGGAGAACAGAAAAATCACCACCTAAAAAATGAAAAATTGGGGCACATTATCTAAAGGGAATACTCTATTTAGAGATAATCCATTTTCCTTTTTAAGTGAGTCACTTTCAAGAATTTAAGACTGGCAACATTCCTTTAAGATTATACTCAAAAGATAACAGAATAATATAATAAGGATACACGTTTTATCAAAAGCATCATCAGTAATATACTCTTCATAAACCCATTTTACCTGAATTCCCTTTAGAGATGAAGCACCCATGTAAAGAAATACTCCATAAAGTACTGGCATAGGAATAAACTGCACAAACAAGCAGAGAAAGGGAAAAGCATATTAAATACCATTCAATTTTAATGCTTCTAGAAAGACATTCTAAATAGTTGAAATTCAAAGTGCCATATGCCTGCATTAATCAGACAAGTTGTAAATTCAGAGTCACTCAATTACAAATTAATACTGTTTCTCAGAGTATAAAGCAAAAGAAGAATCTGGGTCAATAGTTTTATTTTCCTTTCATGGCCAGTTATTGTAATATACTTTATTCACTATTAATAAAATTAACAGAACTACGTGAAAAATGAAAGTGTTTAATACATACTTAAATACTTTAAAGACTGCTCAGGAGAGCATCTGAATAGTAAAGCTATAATCCTAAGAAAAATGTTCAAGACACACACAAAATACTTCATACTGCTAAAAGAAACGTTCTGTGCTGCAAGCATTTAAAAATGGGTAAATTACTTTTATGGAATGATTTTGTAAGAGACTATTTTAAATGTTCAGGCTCTCAGTATACAGTGTATGGGTAAAGGAATATTTCCATAGAAAAGTATCTTTTTAAAATACTAAATACATGCAACACATGTTCCGTGTGTGTGTTTTCAAAGTGAAGATTTTATGATATACCGTGCAACACATGTTTTGTGTGTTTTCAAAGTGAAGATTTTATGATATACTTAATAAAACATTATTGGGAAGTACAAGTTCTAAAGGCTTATTGCCTTCACTGTGACAACATGCAAGTCTAAATTCTGGTCTTAAGGAACCAGTGGCAAAACTCTCACTGATTTCACAGAGGCTAGATAATTCTTAAAAACAGTACCTATTACGTATATAAGTAGTATTATATAGGCATATAACTAGACACCAGTTTCAGGACACTGGTAAGCTGTGTTGAGTATGCAGCATGAGTGAATTTTCATGTTCATTTCCAAGAAATGAACCACAGAACTTGTCTCACAACTGTGAAAATATTTTTAAATTATCCAAAAATGTTTTTTAAATTTTCTAAATAAATGTACTTATTGGTAGGACTTGTTTCATGATAATTTGCCATGGGGTCAAACTATAGACAAAGAGTGAATCTTCGTATACTACAGGTCAATGGCAGAATTCCCTTTGACTTCAGTCAGGCCAGATTTTCGTAACAAGGTTTTTGTTTTAAAAATGTTCGATGTCCCTAGCCATTGTACTATGCAGAATTGGGATTCCACTTTAGATTATCATTGTATAAGATTACGCTAGTTAGTAATGTGCCTGCAAAGGGCACACATTAAATAATATGGTAACAACAGTGTAATGTTCAGTGCAGCACAGTATTCTTTAGCTTTTCCTTACTTCCCCAAATTACCTTCAGAATACTTGTCAAGAAGACAGATGAGCCCATAAGGATAAAAATCATGAGCCCTGTGACTCTTTGCTCCCGGATTCCAAGAAATTTCGGCTGCTCCCCTGGAGCAGAGCACTCCGATTCCAGTTTTAAGCTATTCACATGGGAAATAGAGAGGACAGTGGCTGCAACAAACCATGGCAATCCCATAATAGAGCACACTCCAAGCATGACTGCCACCATGAGCAGGTCGAGGTGGTATCCACATCCTTTCTGTTAAAAAAAAGTAATGACAGCAAGAAGATATAATATGACATCTGAATTAAGGAGAACGCTCCCGGTAGGCATTCCTAATGAACAGACAATTAAAAAATATGTAACTTGTAGGAAAAAATAGCTTTCTTCTGTGTTATCCAGGTTGGGTCAGTGGTGATGGCAAACTGGTTATCTAAGGGGAATTCCTACTAGTTCACAAGAAATGCTTAATGTTATTAGACTCCAGTTATGAGTTAAGTGTACGTATCACAAATCCACTTTACAATGGGCACCAAATACCTTTCCTGCTTACAAAAGAGATATTAGTAAGACAATGTAAAATACATACATTTTCTGTTTTAACTAAATCTCTTCTGTGGATAACAGTAAGCAGAACGTCCAGCTGCACTGCCATTTTTCTACTACACTAATCTTAATAGATGCTCCATCCATCCTTACACAGAAGGCAGAAAAATATGTATTTTGGTTCTTTCCTACACAAAAATTCTGAAGTTAACATTTGCAAAGTCAGTTTATGCTCTAAAGTGCCATAAAAACACACTGATCCTTTTAACGGTTTTATAGATGGTAAGCACATGATAGTAATAAGTTTTCACTAATGTACTTTCATCTTATCTAAGAACAGATAGCTAGAAATTAAGATGAATTAAACCATAATTAAGTCTATATTTATTACGTTTATATTTAAACTATTATTA